ACAGTGACTTAAACAATAACATCAATTGTAGTAGTCATAGTTACATTAACAAGAAGACCAGTGGCAGTTGCTTCGTGTCCGAAGACGAGTATGGTGATATGCCTAAGCTGGAAAGGAATGAAACAGCTGATTCATTGCAACAACAGCCACAACAATCTAAGCATCAGCAAGAAATACACCTTAAAAGGACAACAAACGACAACAACAACACCATCAAACAGGCTACCAGCAACAATAGTTGCAAGGGCAGCAACAACAAAGACATCGACAATGGTTCTCCGTCGTCAAGGAAAAGCATTCCCAAAGAGGTAAAACCTTCCGTGGCTACATCCACTTACGACAACTCAACTGCTACTACTGCTACTACTTCTACTGAAACGACAGCAGCTTCTGCCGCTTCCACTGACATCACCCCACTACCGAAAAAGAGAAGATTAAAATTTGAAGGTCTGGAACTTGATTTAGACTGCCTCAACAACAACAACAACAACAACAACAGACTGAAAAGTGACAGCAACAACAACAGCAGCAGCAGTAATTTTGGTGACAACAACAATGACAATGATAGCAGAAGCACAACAACAACGAGGTGTTTGAGGAAAAGAGAACCACCAAAAGTGGAGGCGAAGGGTAAGTTGAACGAACGAAAGAACGAAAAAATGAGTGAGAAAAGGAATAACAGTAGGAAGGCTTTGATCACTGAGAATAATAATAATGATAATAGTGATGATAAGATTCATAATGATGATAGTGGTCTTGTTGTTAATACTGATTGCACTGTTAAAGAGAGTAATGCAAGTAGAGGTAAGGGCAATAAAAAGTTTAAGAAAAAGTGCCAAACTGACTCATCCTTATCGTCATCTGTGACGTCATTATCATCATCATCTGTGACATCATCTTCACTTCAAAAAACAGCTGCAAAATCATTCATTTCATTTGATCCTTTATCGTCGTCGTCTTCATCCACGACGGCGATGATGATGATGATGACGCCACCGTACGATAGTCAAAAGGTACAAAATTACTACCACCCTTGCAGTAATGATAATAGTAATAAAAACGCGTCATCATCGTCGTCGTCGTCATCATCTATGGCGTCATCAACGACATTTTTGTCCACTGTGTTGTCAACACCGCCGTCAATACAAACGTCATCTGCTAATGTTTTTACTCCGACACCACCATCATCGTCATCATCATCTTCGTCGTCATCTTCATCGTTATCATCTTCTTCGTCGTTTACTCTATCCGAAACGTCATCATTTTCATCATTCATATCATCAACATCGTTTACATCTGGCATCTCTATCTATAACTCTAGTCAGGGAAATGTTAATTTTAAGTCCACTTTTAGCTACAGTAATAATAATAATTTCCATCATCAGAACAGTGCTACCATTGTTAATGATTATATTGATCAGAATTTTACTGCGGGTTCCAGATTCCCTAATCGATGTTTACATCATTCGTCATTTTCTCTTTCCCCACCACCATTTTTATTCAGCTCTTCAACTAACAATAACCATCTTCACTTGCAATCTCTCGTTCAAACGCCTCTATATAACTGTACGACCATTCACTCTTCTAGTCCGGATGATTCACCCGCCAATCAAGTTGTAGCCCCTCCCACAACCAGCTCCGCCGTCGCTAGTGTTGCTACTAGTTCAGTGGCCATTAGCATGTGCCCACCTCCTAAGTTTGTTAGAAGTTTTAAAGAAGTTAGCGACGATAACGTTGAACTTAGCAGCAAAAAAGATGAGAATAGCCAGGATGAAGAGGTCGATGATGTTACGATTGTCGATCTGCCGCCCACTGATCTTATTCAAAGTAATTGTTTCACTATGAAAGAGAGTGTATCAGTCGGTTCTCTGAATGTTGTCACATACCTACCAAGCGCTCTGACCGGCTTTACCTCCACCAGCAATGGCCTCATCTCTCCAATTGGCAACATCTCAAATAATAGCAACATAGTCGATAGGCTAAACTCTAAAGCATTCCAAGAGAAGTCGAGTAAACTTTCAAAGATATGCCTGAAACTGCAGGCCAATGGCGCCTTGAAACTCTCCAACCAGCCACCACTGACAGTAGCAAAAGCGACAACGACAGCTGCAAGTAATGATGTTAATAGAATTAGCATTGATTTCCAGGTTAACAGCATCCAGAGCGGAGTTAGGAAGGAGATTCAAGTGACCAGCAGTGAGTCCAGTCCTGTCAGCAAGCGAAAATATGATTCACTAGAATCCAACACGGATACTGCAACTTGTAAAAAGCAAATAACACCTAACAAAAAAGTTAAAAAATCAGATTATTTAGAGAGGCTTGCAGACGAGTTGAAATTGAAGCAGCAGCTGCAGGAGGAGGCCGAGAAGCGTGAACGACAGCAGAGAGAAGAACAACAGAGAGAGATGGAGGAACAGGAAATGAGAAACAAACGAGCAGACGAACGATTGGTCAGATATTACGAAGAACATTCCGAGGACATTGACAGGTACATCTCTGA